GAGTCCCACAGAAAGAATGGCTTCTCAGCCAATGACATGACAGTTTGTACTTCAAAGTTTCCAGCGGAAAAAAACTAAGAAGGAAACTTAGCTATATTGATAAATTCTAAGTTTATATTCTACATATCACCTATTAATAAATTTGTAGAGTAAAAACATGTCTTTTTAAAGTATCTACAAATAAGGGTAGTCCTGACTTTATAAAACACTTTCATATGCTTTATCTCAGATGATCCTTTGAAGTGTTTGTGCAGATATTATTCTTACTCTTATCTGACAGTAGGAAATTGAGTCTCAGAAAAATTGAATGACTCACACGAGGTCATACAGCCAGTTACAAAACAAGGCTTCAAGCATTCCTTGTTTTGTTCATTGCATCACATTGCCTGATCTCAGGGGAGTGAGCAGTAATCAAATAGAGCATCAAAAAGATAGAGGCCAGTGTGGTGGCTCATGCCTGTAATCCCAGTACTTTGGGAAGCCGAGGCGGGCAGATCACTTGAGGTCAGGAATTCGAGACCAGCCTGGCCAACATGGTGAAACCCCGTCTCTACTGAAAAAAATACAAAAATTAGCTGGGCAGGTGTGGTGACACGTGCCTGTAGTCCCTACTACTTGGGAGGCTGAGGCAGGAGAATTGTTTGAACCCAGGAGGCAGAGGTTGCAGTAAGCTGAGATTGCGTCACTGCATTCCAGCCTAGGGGCCAAAGCAAGACTCCATCTCAAAAAAAAAAAAAAAAAAAAAAAAAAAAAAAGGTGGAGAAAAGACACCCCTTCCCACAAGTAGGAAAGAGGATGACAGAGATCAGAATCTAGGAGAGTGTGAGACTAAAGAGGATGAAAAGTGGGCCATTCATTCAGCTTGTGCTAAATTGCCTTGATTGTCCAGCAAATAAAGGGTGAAGGCATCTCCTGAAAATGAAAGACTAATGGGGTCAGCTTAGGTAGGTGGAGAATGATGGCTGGGTATAACAAAAGAAGACCTTTAAGGCTTGACAACATGCATCAAGTCCCTGGATACACCAGGCACCATGCTAAGCCCAAGGATAAAAAGATGAATAACACATGATGCTGGAGGAGGAGTTCAAGGAACTAGAAAAGAGCTGCAAGAGGCCAGGTGAAAGTTACCAGAGACCGAATCTCAAATTTGATGAGTTAGTTACTGTTCTTTGGTAAAAGCGAATGAAAATTTCAAAGAATATGAAACTTTGAATGAAAAATCAACAGATCAAGTAAGTTCCAGTCATCTCTCTGGCACCCATTCATTTAGCCAACAAATATGTATTGAATCCTGACTATGTGCCAGCACAGCATTAGATGTGGGTACATGAAGGTAAATAGTGCAGCTAAATGTCTAATCAGCAGATCTAAAACATCAATAAACTCCATTGTTTTGCCTTCCTTATCAAAGATCAAATTATGGACTAGTGATATAATCTCTTTATTTTCATTCCAATACATCCTGCAGCTGTTCTTTTCCAAGAGGTTTATAGATTTTTTTGTTTATATTTTAAATCCATTCACAGATGTATAAGGAAGTTACTTGCTATAATTGTTTTTATGAGTTTTACTTCACTTATTACTACAATCTATAGCTCTAAGGATGCAAATTCTCTGAGTATGTTACTGTTTTATTGCCACATCATTTTTTTTCATTAGTTTACTGAAGTTTTTCATGACTACAGATTATTTTTGAAATTTGTGATAATTTGTCCAGGCATAGTGGCTCACGCCTGTAATCCCAGCACTTTGGGAGGCCAAGGCAGCGGGATCACCTGAGGTAGGCAGTTCAAGACCAGCCTGACCAACATGGAGAAACCCCATCTCTACTAAAAATACAAAATTAGCCAGGCGTGGTGGCACATGCCTGTAATCCCAGCTACTCGGGAGGCTGAGGCAGGAAAATTGCTTGAACCCAGGAGGCAGAGGTTGCCGTGAGCTTAGATCACATCATTGTACTCCAGCCCGGGCAACAAGAGTGAAACTCCATCTCAAAAAAAGAAAAGAAATAAATTTGTGATAATTTATATAAGTGATGGATAGCATTTATTTCTATCCTATGTACACACTATATACATTATACTACATCATAGTGGTGTTTAAAGCAGGGTTTCTTAACATTGACACTACTGGTATTTCGAACCAGATAAGTCTTTGTTGTGTTGAGCTGTGCTTTGCATTAGGATGTTTAGTGGCATCCCGGGTTCCACGCATTAGACTCCAACAGCACTGCCCATCCCCAGCTGTGACAACCAAAATTGTCACCAGATATTGCCTAATGTACCCCGGAGTGCAAAATCACACTTGATTTAGAATGACTACTTCAATTTAGTCCTCACAATATCCTACATCAAAGTTTCTTTAGTGAGGAATTTAAGAGTCTACCACTTGTGAAAAGTTTCAAGAGTACGATTTCCCTTTGCCTGAGCTCTTAACTACTCAGCTTTACTACCTCTCATGTTGAGTCATTCAGGACATCACTGTCCCATAACTTCAAATAAAAAGTAGGACTTAGCTTTGCCTAGAGTTGCTTGTTGATTTTTAAGTGAGAAATGAAAGAAAATGCATCTGGCTTTAGAGTGATCAAAGAGAAAGCAGCTGGAAGTCAACTACACCTCATCAGAGATCATTCAGACAGAGCCTAGTTTTGGGAAGACATATCTGCTCCTCTACCTCCCCACTTTCCCCACATGGCCTCATCATTATAATATTCTGAAATGCACACTTTGTGTCTTAGCACAGCAACTTATAAGAGACAACATTTCAGAGCTGTGTATTGAACTGCATTAATTGGAACACACTTGCTATTTAGGTTTCATCCCAGGTTCTCAATTAATCCAAGAAGTAGTTGCTGAATTCCGGATACCCAAAACTGTGTTCATTACAAGGTGGTGAGAGAAAAGAGAAAAGGGAAGCGGTCCCTCTGGACTTCAGAAAAGCCCACATCTGATTGGACAAAGGATCAAAGTACAAACAAAGAAAAACCAGAGATCACAAGACTGAGCTTGAGCAAGTGGGTGAGATTGGACATGTGACCAACATCAAGGCAGCTGAAGCCTGAGCCAGGCCCTGTCTGCCCCCTCACCACCTGGTGACCTTTGGGCCCAGCAGCCTTTCTGGATCTCAGTTTTTCATCAGTTAATACATGCGTTTTAGATAAGGCTGTGATGTTTGGAGCTTGTGTATCGACTATGGTGGGTGCCCAATTAGTGGGTAATTAAGTCCTAAACAAATAATACCTTTTCAAACAAACGGTATCTATCCATATGGCACCTTACAGTTTATAATACACTTTCATATTCATTATCTCATTTGGTCCTTACAATGATCTCATGATATTGGCCAGGAAATTATTTTTCCCATTTAAGATGATTAAACTGAGGCTTGGAGAGGCTGGTTAGCAGTGGAGTTAAAACTTTAGTCCACATTTTCTGAAACACAATGTACTTTTCCTTCTGCACCATGATACCTCTTATGAAACATGAGGAAATATTTATCTTTTCTCAATATATCCCTTTTTTGATTTTATCATCAGCTTAAGTTGCCTCATCGGGGATACCTTTATTAAGCCCCTAAATGCAATGGCATATATCCCTCTTGTGTGTTCTCAGAGTATCCTGAACTTAACTCTTTGTAGCACCAATCACTCTGATCATTACTAATCAGTCTCTACTACTAGAGTGTAAACATATTGAGGGCAGGGCCAACATCTTCTTCAGTGTTTCATTCTTGATGTCCACCACAGTGCCTGATGATAGGTGCTCCGTAAATATTTGTTAGATTAACTGAATAGGAAAACTCAGCATAAAATTTGGAGAATTCCTAAACTAGCCACTAAGAAAGTTCAATGTCAAAATTTTATTACGGTTTCCCAGTCCCCAAATAATCCTGTGCATTAATTCTGGGTTCCTAAGAAACCAAGTAGATTATTCATGTTTTATCAAAATGATTTTCTTCTTCAAACTATAAAATAGAGCACATTTACATTGTCAGTTTCAATAATGTACCCTCACAGATATACTGCCACAAATTTATGACTATAATATTGGGTAAATGGATAGATGAATTGCTAAACCTTAAATTAATATGTGTGTACTAGATTTTCTGTTAACTAGATATCAGGTTCATGCATGCAAGCACTTCCAGAAGACAATTATGTAGGCAACACCATAATTTATGATTATTAATGTTTTTGTTATTTTTACAGGGTCTAATCAGCATGACTCAACCACAGACTTCTGGTTCATTTACATACTATCCATAATGTCCACCTTCTGGATCATAGTTACCTTTGAAAGATTTTAACTTTCAAAAGATCAGAAAAGGAAAGAGAAATTTATATCAGGTGATATTTGGAATGGGGGGGATGCATAACTTAAATGCGTAAATAACTGATACTATTACTTTGCTATATTCTTTCATTATTTTGAACATCCTTAAATAAATGAAGGAGAGGGGATCACAGAAATGGTAAGACAATGAAAAGGGAGTAGAAACTGTTTACCAAGGTCCAAAAAGTTGTGTTCTTCCTTAAAAACAAGGCAAGAGTGGGCTGAACACGGTCGTTCATGTCTGTAATCCCAGCACTTTGGGAGGCCGAGGCAGGTGGGTCACTTGAGGTCAGGAGTTCGAGACCAGCCTGGCCAACGTGGTCAAGTGAAACCCTATCTCTACTAAAAGTACAAAAATTAGCGAGGCATGGTGACACACAGCTGTAGCCCCAGCTATTCCAGAAGCTAAGGCAGGAGAATCGCTTGAACTGGAGAGGTGGATGTTGCAGTGAGCCGAGGTTGCAGTGAGCCAAGATCGCACCACTGCACTCCAGCCTGGGCCACACAGAGATACTCCATCCCCCACCAAAAAAAAAAAAACAAGGCAAGGCGAGGGTAAAGGGCATTTAGCAAGTGGCCTCTGAGTACATTTCGGTCCAAGTGTAATTTTATATGTATATCAATCATTGATCTTGATTTTTTTTTTTTCTTTTTTGGTATGTCCCATAGGATTTTCTGGAGACGGCAGGTTCACTTGCGGACAGGAATTCGGCCCAGCACTATTACCAGCTCCTTCCCTCAGCTCATGTCCAATGTGGATGCAGCTTACGAAGTGGCTGAGAGGGGCATTGCTTACTTCTTCAAAGGTACCCTCCAGATCTCTCAATGAAAGAAATGGCAGGGCTGCAGTGCCCCCTCCATTTGGCGTATCTAGCCCTGCCAGCATTTTCCAGTCATCATGGAGCACATTTCAGTTGCTCTTTGTCCTCAGGTTGGGTATGAAATGCCACCTACATTTGTTATACCCGACATTGTGTAACAATGAAAGTGATGGCAGTGGCCATTAAGCTTCTCGGAACCATGCCTGTTAGGCTAGTAAGGCACTGTGTTAGGTGATAGCGCCCAGGGAGCTAAAAACCTGGTCACTGCCACACAGGACCTCTGCTCAGAGTGACAGTGTATACTCTACTGGGACACTAATAAATAAAAGCCAACGCGGAACTCAGTGGGAGGTAAACAATACCCTTCCTTCTATGCTGTGGTCAGAAGCAGCCAGGAGACGAGGACACCTTTGACTTCAGGAGGTGGATACACATACCAATCTCTGGCTCTAGCCTTTACTATTTGAGTGACTTTGCAAAGTTATCTAATGGCTCTGAGCTCCAATTCTTCCTCCGCAAAGTGATTATGGCAATACAAACCTTGAAGATGTGGTGTGACAATGGCTAGTCAATGGAAGTTATCCAGTAGGTAATAACTAGCAGTTTCAGCTTATATGTTCTTGATACGGAGAGATAAGGTTAGAAAGCAAGTGCCAGCTTAAGTAAAAATCATGGCATTTGCATGTCACTTGCCCATTCTCTCTCGTAGATCTCTGAAGGTGAAATGAGATTATAAATGAAGAATATCTTGAAAGACATAACATGTTAAATGTAAAACACAATTGTATCAATGTTATTGCTTTCTTAAGGTATAACTAGGGAATTTTACCTCCAGAGAAGTTTGAAGTCTTTTACTGAACTGAGTAGTTAGAAGCTTATATCTCCTGTTGGGTTATAGCCATGGCAAGTATCCCATAGACTAACACCATTTATGAGCCTTCATAGAAATCTTTATGAGAGAAGTGCATCAACATGTGGTGCAGAGTTTTCATAAACTTTAATTTCTGTTTTCAGGTCCCCACTACTGGATAACAAGAGGATTCCAAATGCAAGGTCCTCCTCGAACTATTTATGACTTTGGATTTCCAAGGCACGTGCAGCGAATAGATGCTGCTGTCTACCTCAGGGAGCCACAGAAGACCCTTTTCTTTGTGGGAGATGAATACTACAGGTATGCCTTTTTTCCTTTTGACTCTCTATATGTATTCAATGAGAAGGATTAAAACAACAACAAAAAAAACACAAAACCCTTCCATGAAAGAGTGCAAGGCAAGTTTGCAATAGGCCTGTTGACTCTTTTCAGCCACTGGGGTGCCAATTACAGATGGTTGACTGTCTTCAAGATATGGAATCATCCAAATAATGAGTGAAACCTTCATTCAACAATCTCATTGTTTGATCTCTAGGACATGACACATCCTGATCTTTCAATGCACTCATTAACTGGACACCTAGTGGCCTAAAAGAGTAGATGCAGCATCACCAAATCCCTAACTACCCTCTGAGAATGCCTGACTTTGCTATTATGTGAGCATAAAATGCATTCCACAATACTCCATGATTTAGGGCAAAATGGAGATGGTCCTGACTATGGGTCTCTTTGAAGTATAGTTCTGCTGGAAGGAAAAGGCCTTATTTCTTAGTCCTTTTATCCAGCCTAGAATATGAGGATCCTTCTTATCCAAAGGAAACCATATAATTTCAATTCCTGTCCTCAGGGGCTTTGTATGAGCAAATCTGAATTAGGTGTCATCTGTCATCCAATCACTGCACAAAGGGTCACACCTTATCTTAGCTACTGAGTTTCTATCCTTAGTTGACTCATGTTGAGGAACGAGTGGAGCCCCTTCAAAGATCACCCCTGCCTCTGCACACCTTCCCTCTGTTCCCAGTTTTCTCTTTTTGCCTGTTTACCTAAACATCTGAAGATAAAAGCAAAAGCAGATTCTAAGCAGGTGACAATGCTAGACACCTTAGGCTCATGAAAGGGTCTTGAAGAAAACAGAGCACCCAACTTTGTTCCAAGAGCTTTCATTTTATTTCCTATCACATATTTTAAATAATCATTTTTGTGATATAAAAGAAATTTTAAAATAGATATTTGTCATCTTATTCTGATTCATATTTTCTTCCCCAATTTGGAGTTGAGAAAATAATATAAGTGAGGCACACATACATTTCATAAGAAAGCAAATTTCTTGTATAAAGAAAGAATTGCAAACAAATATGGATTCTGCTGACTCTTCTGGGCCACTGAGAGCCATGGAAGCATTGCTTAGTGTCATGTGGTGTCATGAGCTGTCACTTCCAGACCAGTGTTTAAGCCACTAGGTCAGCTATTTTTCTCTCAGACCTTCCTTTTTAAAACGTGATGACAGGAATTCACTTATTGAGGCCCTAATATCTGCAGGACAGAATATGATTCTCTAAAGTCTTTCTTTAAGATAAGGTGGCTGTAGTCACAGAGCAGATATACAGGAAGATAGGTATTGAGAAATCCAATTCCCCTGCTGAATTTTCAGAGAATAAAATCAAGAGAAGCATGTGTAAGCATGTGTGTTGGAGTATGAGGGCGTTTATGTTAGGATTATTCAGTTAACGTTTTAAAGGGTATTCACAGTGTGATTCTCAATGGGGGAATTAACCACTCTCCCATTGTCTCTCTTGCCCATTTATCACCTGATCTTTGGTCTAATCTACCACCCACCAGCACCTGCAGTAAAGCATATACCTTCAGTCAGGCTGAATTGAAGCCTAACAGCCAAGTTAAGAGATGTGGGCAGAGGTTCAAAATTCTCTGTAAGTTTTAGGATGGGGAAGTCAAGGCTCTCTGATTTTAGTGATGCTCATTGCCCCCAGAGAAAATCATACTGTCCTTTCCAACTGGCCCTCTGTGAGTATCTACTAAGGAGAAGTCTTTCATAATCTAGATAAATAGATTCACCAAAAAGTTGGTCTAGAGCATTAACTAAAATGTTAACAAGCTCATTTTTCTGGTTAAGAAAGGAAACCATGGTAGGCACTTCTAACCTTCCCAGGTTACGGAGAGTGTTAAGTGATACAATGCATGCAGACACAGACACCTAGCAGTGTCTGCACAAAGTAGGTGCTCAAAAAGAGTTATTGTTCAGCAACAGTAGGAACTTATATGGTAATTAACAAATAATTTCATAACAACTTGTGATGCTTAGCAAATTGCTTAAACCTCAATATTTCTCTGAGCAGCGATTCAGTCAAAAATCTCATCAAAGGGAATTTCCTTTTTAAATACTGAAGGCCCCAAACATTGGACTGAAATTGCTGCTTTTGGCAAAACATAGACACTCCCATCAGCAATGGGAATCTTCTACTTTACACACTCCAACACACACACTGGTGTATGCCCCAAGGAGTAAGACAACCCTGACCTATAGCTCAAAAGTTTAGAGAAAGCTATTGTACTGGCCCTATTCATAAACACCCCTGAATTCTGCACAGTGTGCTTTACAGGGCCTCATATGTGTGACATCTTAATGTCATGTGAAGTCCTCTATTGGTTTGAAATTTAATTTAGCCATTAGTATCAGAAACCCCAAAATAATTGTGGCTTAAACACATGAGGGTTTGTTTTTCTTATATATATAAAAAGTCTGACAGTTTGGTATGGCTGACTGGTGATCACCAGGGACCCAAGTTCCCTTAAACATTTTGCTCCGCTATTCTTAACACATACTTCCATTCTCATGGTTGCCTCATGACTCGTGGTGGCCAGGGGAGCTTTAGTCATTACATCCCTACTATAGAAGGATGCAACTGCAAAGAAAGGACAAAGGAGACAAATGAAGTTTTGTAGGTAAGCACATGGCCACACTCAAAAATATGGAAGGTCCCAAGCCTCAAGTTATGGAATAAGAATTTCACTACATTGACATCCACTGAAAGTGTGTTAGGTCTTATTCATCTTAGACATTTATCAGGTTCTTCCTTGCCCCTCATGCTACTTCACTCTGTGACAGAGGAATGTGCCAAGAGAAGAAAAGTCTCTGGAAATTCTCCAAGAACTCCCAGAGTTTGGACCCAGTTTTAGTGAATGAAATGCCACAAGGAAATGACCGAGGAACTTCCTCCACAGAGGATTGAAGGTTGGCCTAGGGCCAGGTTGGATTAGACTCTAAAAGGGAGAACCCATGTCTCTGTGTGGTAGTTACTTACAGGGGAGCAGCACACAGAGGACCACAATGTCAAATCCAAATAGGAGGCTCTACTATGTTGATGCCATTACATGCTATATCAGCAAATGACATATTGGTTAAACTTTGCCAGCTAGAGCCACTTCCCCTTACTTTTATTCCTTCCTTTTCTCTTTCTAGCAGGCCCTAATGGTTCCACCAGTTTTTCATTTTTTACATTATTTCCACTTCCTATGGCTAATTTCTTCTTTTAGATGTTCTCCCTCGCCTACCAGTAGCACAGCAGTGGCTACATCAAGGGATTTCTGGGGGAAGGGGATGTCAACACCTCCATAATTCTTCAAGATAGTCAATGATTTCTGAATTTCATGCAAAGTGACTTGCAAATCTGCAGGTCCTACCCCTTTTCAATCATATTGCCCCTCTACCATGAATCAACTCTTTCTATACAGTCAGACTCAGGACATCATTGCTGCAAAGTAGAATATGTCTTCCATATTCTCTCCTTCCTGAATGCCTCAGAAATACTAGAAATAGATGTTTTTATCTGAGGATTTTATAGTCACCATAAATAAATAAATAATAAGTAACAAAAAGAAGTAAGATGAAATAGGGTTAAAAAATCTTGTTTTTTCACGTTTTAAATTTTAAAAAATTTGTGACTAAACTACCACATTCAACCTACATTTGTTAGACATATTATGTGTCAGCCTGTGTACTAGTGACATTCAAGAGAAGGTGTAGAGTTTGCTGGTTAAGAATGGGCAGAAGTAAAAGAGTCCTAGTGTTCATCTTAACTCTACCAACAATCATCTGGCAATTTGGATCACCTTTCTGCCTTAGTTTCATCATCTGCAAAATAGGGGTAGAAATACTATACACTTCCTAGAATTATGGCATTGAAAGAGAAAAATGTGAAATGCCTGTCACATAATAAGCATTCAGTTCATGTTGGGTGAACAGGTCTTACAGTTGAGGGTAAATACATAGATAAATAACTAACAGAAATCCAAGTGCCAAAAGTGCCCTGATTCAAGACTTCAGGGAGATCAGTGGGTCAAAACAAAGAGGATATGGCCAACTTAGCAAAATTATCAGGAAATAATTCTTAGAGGAAGTGATGGCTGAGCTCCATTTTGAGAGATGTGTAGGAGTTTCCCAGACAGAGGCTGAGGTGCAGGTGGGTGGCTTCCAGGCAGAGAAAGCAGTTAAAGCAAAGGCACTGATGCACAAAATAGCATGTGAGCATGGGGAAAACCTCAAGCAGTTCAGTATGACTAGAATATAGACTAAAATCAAAACGGTGGCCCAAGGAAACCAGGGTAAAGATCAGGTAGGGTCAATGCTTTTCTAGGGAGATCAGTGTTTATTCTGCAGAGAAGAGGGACATGTTAAATATCTTCGACAAGGGAGAAACTCAGTAAGATTCATGTTATAAAAATAACACTCTGCCAGCAATGCGACTGTATTAGAGGGAAATGAGACTTGAAACCAGAAAAACTAGTTAGGCCAAAAGGCAGTGGAAAGCATACTCAAAGTTCTCAAAGAAAAAACTCAACCAAGAATCTTACATCCACCAGAGTTATCTTTCAAAAATGAAGGAGAAATAAAGGCATTCCCAGAGAAACAAAAACTGAGAGAATTTGTTACTTGCAGATTGTCTAACCAGATATACTAAAGAAAGTTCTTTAGGCTGAAAGTAAGTGAGCCTAGATAGCAATTCAAGCCCCCACAAATATCCAGAGAGCATCAGTAAGTGTAATTATGTAAAAGACAGCATAAATGCACATTTCTTCTTCTTTATTCTCTTAATTTAAAAATGGAAAATCAATTATATTAAACAATGTGCATATTATTGCATATTTGTATTGTTAAGGCTACAACATGTAGAAAGAAATATATTTATCAATAACATGAAGGAAGTAGGTGGGAGCACAACTGTATTTGACTTAAAAAAAAAATGACACTAGATGGTAACTAAATTTCATAGGAACGAAAGAAC